GCATGCTATGAAATATGCTTTGTAATTTCTAACTCCTAGAGTCAGCCTGTATTCTGCTCACAGAACACGTAGGAAGCAACACCAGTTCCTAAAGTAATGGGGTTACAGGGGGTGAACCAGAAGGTTAAGGTATAGTATTAGAAGAAAAGGCAGTGTTCTGGGTCTCAGATGTCATCCAGGATGGGTGCAAGGACAAAAAGGGAGGGGGGAAGGGGGAAGGGAAGGGAAAAAAGAGAGAGACACAGAGAGAGAGGGAGGGGGCCTGGAAGGAGGGGTAGGGAAGTATGGGAGTGAGAGGAGGGAGAAGAGAGAGGTGGGAAGAGAGCAGAAGAGAGGAGAGCAGCAGGAAGAGGGAGAGGGAAAGAGAAGAGAGAGGGAGACAAACTTCATGTAGCAGGAAGGACATGGACAAGCTTGGGGATGGACTTGGATATGAACCTGGGAGGCGAGCGGAGAGGAGGCTGGAGGAGCACCAGCTCCTTTTCAGGGTGGCGCTGCTGTAAGAACTCCACCTCTCATGGGGCAGGAGAGCCAATGCTCACCCACCTTGCATTAGTTTTTAAAACCTAAAAAATCTGAATAAGTGCTATGGATTATATCTATGTCAGTTTCCTAGTTTTCATATTGTGCTATATTTTATGTCAGATGTTACCATGGGGGGAAGCTGGGTAAAGGGTACCTAAAACCTCTCTTTACCTCTTTGCAACTTTCTGTGAAAATATAATTATGTCCAAATATGAAATCAAACAAAACCCCTCAAGCAGAGCTATGAAATATAAAAATGGCATGAGCAGCATGACAGTTGGCTCCTCCTCTATCCCTCAAACCACCTAACCCAGTGACCAGGCTGCAGGGCGCCCAGCAATGCCCTGGCTCGGGACTTAATGCCATGGAGCCTGGGACCACACTGCCGGGCCCAGAGGCCTGCACTGCCCAGGGCCCACCAGGCTCGCAGCCTCCCTGTCCTCGGCGGGGAATGCCCCTCCCGAGGCTGTGCCAGTGGGTTTTGTTTCCTTCCCCTGGGTCCAGCTGAGACCCGAACACTGGGTAGAAAATACCCAGGCGAGCTTGTCTTCTCCTGGACGACCACCCGGTCCCAGCCCGGCCCCGGAGAGCACAGGCCTCCTCCAGAGCTTCAGGCACAAGCATGTTCCCAGAGCTGAGATATGTTAGACCCTGCACAGGCTACACCTCCTGTTTACCTAGGTCTGTTCCACTCCGTGGGTGATCCCCAAGCAGTTCCAGGACACGCTGACTGCCGCTGCCCTTGGCGAGCCGGGCAGATGCTGAGCTGCTTTCCAAGAGCCTCTTCTCAGTCCCAGGGACTGGCTCTTAGCTGTTTAGGGGGGTAAGGGGGGGCGGCTGGGAGGCTGCTTCCATGCACCCATGTCCCAGGATGGTGGGGGCAGCAGGGCATTTGGGGCAAGCTGGGCTCACTCACTCTAAGTACTGTCTTCCCTTGGGTGGAAGCCATACACGTCAACAAGGAGCTTAGAGGCTGAGGGAAAATATTTCACATGAACAGACTATATTTTACCATGAAGCTTTGCTTCTTTGCTCAGTTTGTTTGCTGCTCTCTATACAATGATGAGTCTGGAGGAAACATTCTCTCTGCCCTGGAAGCCTGAGAACACCAACTCGCACTAACTTCCTAATTTACTCTTTCACAACATCCAAGTGCAGGTGATGTGTACGTGTTACAAATCACCTGAGCAAGTGTCCAAGGGAAAGTCTCTGCCTCGCCCCCGATCAGTTCAAATTCTTTATAAAGAGAACTTTAAAAATGCAATCCACCACCTTTTATTCTGGCAGGTGATTCTGAGACAGTTGGTAATCTGGTAACTGACAAAGCAATTCTTTAAAGCAGCCGTTCTCCACAACTCCACAACTTTAGCTTGTCCCCCAGGGGATATTTGTCAATGTCTAAAGACGTTTTTGCTCCTCACAGCTGGAGTTGAGGGCAGGCGTGCTGCTGGTATCTAGTGGGGAGAGGCTAAAGATGCCTCCCACGATGCACAACACCACAAAAAATGTGCATGTAACTCCTATTATTAATTCAGCAAACAAGTATGTGGAACCCCTATAACCTTAAGGCATTATGTGGGCCCTGAGGCTGGGGAGCCCGCTTGGCAGCATCTGGTGGAGGAATGTCAGAGGCCTACAGATGATATTAGGGCATGCTGAGTGCCTGAGTGCAAACACAAACCAATAGGGGGAGGATATGAGATTGTGAGGATGGAATTGGGGAATGGGAGGAACTGATGTCATGTCCCCCAAGATGACTGCAAGCTGCATATTCACTCTCAAATGTAAAACGAAAATAACTGATAGGAAAGATCGCCAAGCCCAAGGCGCTTTTCCAGCAATCTCATTTTCTGTGTTTCTAAACACATCTTCAGAAAGAGGTAGCCTACTGCTTTCTTTGTGACTTTGTTCCTTATTACGATTATTTTCCTAACAATATTTTTCCAGTATCAAAGACATATTTTATTTCCTTATTTTGTCCTTAGTTTATTCTCTCTATCTCTACCTTTAAATATCAATAAACATACAGTATCATTCTGTAACTGCTAAGTAGCTAAGCATTACACACTTGGCCTCTTTTATTTTTCCTCAGATAGCAACCTAAATGTATTCACAATTTTCAGATGTACTTTTCTAAACATCTGTTAGTTGGACTCTCTTTTTCAACACCAAGTGCCAAATATGTAACAGAAACAATTGCATTTTTACCCGCTGCTCCTACTTTCCAAGCTGAAGGAAGCCCTTGGACAGCACAGAGAGGTTTATGAAGTAAAATGAGCAGAAGAGAAAAAGGCTTTTCCCCCCAGAAAAGTTAGTGGCCAGATTAAAGGTCACTAGATTCGGTTTGCAAGGCTGAAATTGCCTAGCGATCATTTCCACAGCAAAAACCACAGACAATTATGCATCCTCCAGGTCAGCAATGTGGGTGATAAAACTGTCTGGCACACTATCACTGGCAAATGTGAGCTCATAGCTCAGCTGAAATTGAAACCAGTTATGAAAGAGAACTAGCAGATGCCACAGGCCTGCACACACATATTCCAGGCGATCTTGCAAATCAAGTAATTAACATGCATCTTTGAGGCTCTGCTTTGTGAAAGCCTCTGCACAACACTAAGCGGCAATAAAGTATGTGTTTGTTTGTTTGTTTTTTATTCTGGTTTTAATCTTGACCCTGCTAGTTAATAGCACCTCTCTGAGTTTATATGTTTTTATCTATGAAACGGGGAAAATCATACCTATCTCTCAAGATCATTATTTGTTGCAGCAGTCTGGACCTGGTCAGGAAAACAGGACCACGTCAGTTATTTTAACACAGAGAATTTATTATAGGGAATTGCCTAAGCAGTTCCTAGAGAACCAAAAAAGCAAAAAGGGGGCAATGAAGATGCAGTTACCACCCCAAAGGCTGGGAGAGCAGAGGGCAGAGGTTGGAGCTATTAGAACCTAGACGCTTGAAAGAAGAGCCCTGTGGGGCCGAGACACCTACTTCGGGGGGAAGGGGTGACAGCTTCTGAGGTACTGTCATCACAGGAGCTTCGGGGCCCGCAAAGCTGAACCTCTGCTGATTCTGGGAAGGGTGCAAACGAGAGCTGCACATGAACCAATTGCCACTGCCAGGGTGACACGCCCTCGCCAGGTGACACTCTTAAGTACCAGCAAGTACTCAGGAAGGAGCAAGTCTCTCCTCCCGCTCAGCCTGTTTCCCTCTGGCACCTCTAGCAGAGGAGAAACGTGATTTCGAAGAGCCTCAGCCTCACAAAGCAAGAGTTCGGAGGCTGGGTTTGGAGCTGAGAGACTGTGGCTTACTACACGGCCCTTTCATCCATTCATTATGTGATTTATCCAGTGCTTGCCATGTGTCCGATCGTGAGGCTCTCGGCTAGATGCTGGGAGTCTGAAGAATTCAATGGAAAACTCATAAATAAAGTGCGGCAGTTCAGTGACTAGTGCAATGTAGACCCAGCTCTCCTCTCTCAGGTCCGGTGAGAAACATAAAGGAAAAAGGAATGGAAAACAAAACACCAGCTCCTACTTTTTAGGAGTTCTGCATTATGGGGTAAATCAAAGAGCAAAGTATAAAATCATACATGTTTGTACACTTTAAAAAGTATTTCAGACATAACTGTTTTAAGAATTCAGGAGCAAACAAATATTGTCAGGGACTATCAGGGAAGCCTTCACAAAGACAAGGGGAATGAGCAACACCTTAGTACTTAGACAATGGCCCAAAGGGGTGAGACCATAATAAATGGGAGGAAGCACGTGCGTAACTCAAACATGGTGGGAACTTCCTGGGTGCTTACATTGCAGCCCCGGCCTCAGGGAATGGAGGGTGGCTTTGTGACATGGAGGGTGGAAGATGGGGCTGGTAGAACATTTCCTGACACTCTTCTAGGGGATAGATGGGCCATTGGAGTTTTTTGAATAAGTAGAAGTTATGCATGAAAAAAAATTATCTTTGTAGCCCTTATCAGATCTAACATGATACCTTACATATAGTGAAATAGTTGAGGAAAGAGTATTACATTGAATAGGATGGGATGGACTGGGATGGAATTTTTAAGGAAGGTCTTAATTTTGAAAATCTGCATATAGATTCTTCTGTTTTAATTATAATAATAAATACTTTGGGAAGTATTTCGAGCAATCAATGAGCAAGTTTAAGTCTAAGTTCCGGAAATAAAAAGATTCAAGCAATGATAAAAATTTAATAAGTGAAGATGTAACCCACCAAAAAGACACCGTGCTCATTTCTCAGACTGAACATGACATTGGGCAGCGTTGGCTTCAGAGACTGGGAGGGGTTGTTGAAAGTATCATGGACCTATGCAAAAAATGTATTGGGCAGTATGTTTTTTAATCAATTTTAGTGACTCATATAGAAAAAGTAATATAAATGGTGTGAATTTTGAATATGAGTCTGCAGAGTATATGGTGTACTCACACCTAATCTGCTGTTTTTCTCTTGGCAGATCCATTACAAGATTTTGGCTTTTCTATTGACCAGTGTTCCGAACATTTAAAATCAAATATCAACATTAGATTTGGAATCATTCTGAGTAAGTAAAACTATTGACATGAAATAAAACAACCTCTTCCTGGCTCACTCACCCAATTACTTGTATTAACTGGAATGGCTGGCTCAGCCCCTGCTCCCCAGCACTCTGTGGAATTAAATCTACTTCCATCTTCCTCTTCAGTTCTCTCTCTGGGTAGCATCCAGATAGAGTAAAACTCTCATTTAATGTTGTGATTTTTGTACTGAAAAGACTCTAGGCACTCATTTGTATGATATAAGCACCTGGAATCAGTATACCCGACAGAGAAAGAAAATATTTTGAGCTTAAGCATTAATGTTTGCTCAGGAGAGAGTTTTTGTTTAGTTATTTCAGCAACGAACAAGTCTACTACCAGCAACATGGCTAGTCTTTGTGTTATTTCATTTCCCAAACAGCTAATATAAGTTCTTCAATCTTGACTCAGTGAAAAGCGTGTAATATCTTCTCACTCCACCCCAATCAATGAGCTCAAATGCTTTCTGATTGTTTACATTTGTATGGTCATGCCATAACAATTAATCGTCATATTGCTATAGTTACTAGAGTATCTCCTTTCTAAAAGTGTTTATCAAAACCAGAGCAGAGGATTTAATAAACTTAGCATGGGGAGTCGGTCCACAGAGATGGAGGGAACATTCCCAGAGTCTAAGGACCCTCATGCATCCTTGTATTTCTCAAACCTCACACAACGTCTGGACTCTATAGCAGCAGCTCAAAAAATGCTATGAGGAGAGACAGAGAAATGCAGAATGAAAGGAGAATGGAGCAGAACATAAAAGGGGAATGGAAGAAAGTTTCAGAAAGAATTGGAAGCCAGCACTGCAGAGCACCCTGAAGCTTCCTGTGTAACTATGCTACAACATCTGCCCAGCAACAGTGGGGGTGTGCAGGCTTGCCCACACCCCGGCGCTGTCAGGGAGGTATCTAATACTATGGGGCTGAAAAGTGATAGAAGCCAGACCTGCAGCCACCACATTAAGGGGCCATGGCATCAGGACAGGGGAGCGCAGCAGATAAACTATCTCCTCCAAGCAGATCAAGTTTGTGAAAGCACCTCATCTCATACTCAGGGCTGGCACCACAGTCCCCTGCACCACTGCCTAAATCAGTGGTTCTCAACCTTCCTAATGCCGCGACCCTTTAATACAATTCCTCATGTTGTGGTGACCCCCAACCATAAAATTATTTTAGTTGCTACTTCATAACTGTAATTTTGCTACTGTTATGAATCGTAATGTAAATATCTGATATGCAGGATGTATTTTCATTGTTACAAATTGAACATAATTAAAGCATAGTGATTAATCACAAAAACAATATGTAATTATATATTCAATATGTGTTTTCCGATGGTCTTAGGCGACCCATGTGAAAGGGTCGTTCGACCCCCAAAGGAGTCGCGACCCACAGGTTGAGAACCGCTGACCTAAATGCTGTTTTACCAAGAAAACTGTTCCCTGTGCAGCATAGACTGCTGGAAATGCAAGTTCTTGGGGCTCATACTTGTATAATTTTTGAATGTTTTGATATGCAGCAAAACCCACACTAGGTAAAGCCCATCTCTTTTCCTTTAGGAGAGGACATAAAAGAGTTGTTTCTTGATGCAAGTCTCCTGACGGGAGGAGTGCCCTTTTTGAATTACTCCTATCCCATCTGTGAAGAGGATCTCCCCAAGTTTTCTTTCTGTGGAAGAAGAAAAGGGGGTAAGCTGTCTGTCTTTCTCACTGATTGCTGAGGCCCGGGAACAAACTCTGCTGAGGTCAGGACACCCTGGTGGGGATCTGGGCCCTGCCCCTCACCTGTGGACAAGTTTCACCTCACATGTCAGCATCTAAGTGCTGTGTCGTATGCTGTTACATAAAAATAACCGTAAGGCTCGTCCACAGGGCCTACCTGACAAGGTGGGTGTGAAAATCAAATTAAACACCCATATATAAGGTACTTTACAAACACAACATGTGTTAATGATGGCACTTCATTAATTAAAAAAAAAAAGGAGGGTTGGCAACAGAAAGAATCAGTAGCTTCCCCAAATCCATTGCTGTTCAGTGTCTCCAAGTTTCTCCTCAGCAATCTCTTTACTGGCAGGGTCTCCTCAATATAGCAATGGACTCTGAAAAAGAAAAAAAAATGGGAAGCTTTCTGACTGTCAGCATTTTACTGTAGTCTTTCTCATTCCAGTCATTGACTGATGGGGCAGTAGGTGGCTACATTCAAAGTACAGATGTGTAAAACCCAGGGTATTATCACTCTTTCTCCACCCACTAGGCCGCCATCCCTGCCATCCATACCTCAGTAGAGCCCAGGAGCCCCCCTCCAGCCTGTTCCCACCTCGCCTCTCCTCCCAGTCCTCACCCACCATCTTCACCAAGACCCTGAGATGCCTCTGTTTATTTAACCAAAAGTTGGGTCTGCTCTGTGACTTTCCTTCCCCAGAAATTGTTCCTTTCCTCTTCCCAGGGTCTCCTTACCTTCCCATTGGCCAAGGGGGAACATGCCCCTAATCCCACTCCCTTGAGATACTCACTCATCTATTTCCTCATTCAAGGAAGCTGGAGGGAAAATCACCTAATTATGCTTCCAAACAAAGGCTCTAAAGAAATTGGATCCCCTTCCCATAGTGACATGCAAACTCAGGCACATCCGTGTATTTCCTCAGCACGGAGGGCTGTTCAGTAGCTGGTCCCTATTGAACTTTTTCTACCTGTCCTCAGCCATTCCTGTCTCAGACTCCTCACCCCACAATCAGCCACTTTTTCTTTCCTTCCTTCCCTTCTTCCTCATTCACTTCTTCCTCCCTCCCTTCCTCCCTTCCTTCAATACTAAGTCTCTACTGTGTGAAAAGCACTTTGGGGAGCCTGAAGATGAACCAAGGATGGTTTCTGCCTTCAAGGACATTGATGATGGCCTAGAGGAGACTAGAAATCCACAAAACTCTGTGTGGTGTGTGCATTAGAGGCACAAACAAAATGCCAGGAAATGTGAGAGTTATAGTTCATTCCCAACAGGTTGACCTCTTGGAAAATGGAAAGTCTGAAAAATGTAATATAGAATTATTTTCCTGTTTGCCTTAAAGTTATTTGAAATTTGGTTACAGGCTTTTCAGCATTCATTATATACTAGTGCGTGTGTATATATATATATATAGTTTGTGCACAGCATAATAATGCTGGTAGTCTACAAGCATTCCTGATTTTATAAAATGTTTTGAGGAATTCAAAGCATCTTGAGCTGATAATTAAATAATAATCCCCGAGAAGACTGACAACTCAGTAGGCTGCCACCTAGAGTCAGCATCTACAGTCCTATCTCCCACGTTTGCTTATCTTTCCAATTTCCCTCAAAAATAATTATTTTTGAACCCAAATGTGGAAACAGGTATGCTTGGAAGTACTACTAGCTTAGTAAGAAAGAACCCATACTGGGCTGTCCTTTTGTTCCTACGCTCCTACTTCCTTCTATTCTCCAGATCAAATCTCCCCACCTCCTTCCTGGAAGATGGAATTGACTTCCAACCTGGTTTTCCTACTTCCTGACTGCTGCTGGGGGGAGGGGTAGTCTTCCCAAATACAGTGTTGATCATGTCACCCCCTTCCCAAAAGATTTCAGGGTTCCCATTTCTATAGAACAAAGTCTAAGTTCTTCAGTGAGCAAGGTTCATCACGGATTGCACTCTAATCAGCTTCTCCTGCCACATCTTGGCCCACATGCACCTTCAGCTACAGCTTCATTGAATTATTTGCCACTTTCTGACCACACCCTGTGTTTTGACACACGTGGTGCTGTTCTGATGCTGCCCTTCGCCTCCATTGCCTGTTCCCCATTTCTCTTCTATCCAGACTTCACTCAAGTATCACCTCCTCTCAGAAACCTTCCTCCTACCCCAAGCCAGTTAGTTGTTCCCTCTGGATGCCCCTGGTGTATCCCATCCCCACTTATCTCATCCATCATTGTATTTTGTATTCTAGTTATATTACGTGTGTGCATGTATACTAGTATGTGTGTGCCCTTTGAAAGCAGGCACTTCAAACTTTGAACTCCTTGAAGGCAGGAATATTTCTTGCTCCTCTCTGTCTCTGTAGACTTTGCAAAGAGAGACCAGCACAGAGTAAAGATGCAATAAATTCTTGTTTTATTGAATTTGCATGTGACAAAATGAATGCAAGTATCCCACCTCCTGAGTGACTATCTAATGATCCTTACGCATGCCACAAAGACACAGGCACATCCAATCCCAGAAACCAGTAAATTATCTTGATCTTCCACATTTAAGAAAACCTATTTTTCCTCTGTGAGTGGTTTTAATCCTATATAATAAAAGGGTAATATGCAAATTGACCAAACAGTGGAACAACAGCACCACAACACCAGTGGCCCCTCACCCCTGTAGGCTCTGTTCCCGAGCGGGTCCCTGGAACCCGATCGGGGGCGGGGCTGACAAACTGCCGGCAGTCCCTTGCCCCAGCCGGCCCACCCCTGATGGCTCCCATCAGGTGGGCTGGCTGGACCCCACCAGTGCATGAATTCATGCACCGGGCCTCTAGTAGAATTAATAAAACAGAAGAGATATTGTCCCCCAAATTAAAGTGTTCAATTTTGTTTGGCAGCTCAAAAAGCTGGTTTTGCCTTATTCAAATGCTGGGCAGCCCTTCAGACATTTATTTGCTTTGTTGTCATGGAGTTGATAGCTTCATAGGCAGGCTGAGAAGCCAGAACTCGGGAAATTGCCAAGAAATTTCATATATATATAAAATGATCAGAAAAGTAATATACAAATGCTACATGCACAAATAATTATGTAAATTACTAAACCAGAGAAACTAAAACCTTAAATTCAGAGGCTTCTTGGGTTATTACATTTTTTTAACCCACCCATCAACCCAGTGCAGGAATGATGCTGCTGAAAAGAAGTGATGACTTCTAAGACCAGAATTAAGAGAAAAACATGCACCAAGGAGGACCTAAGGCAATACAAACCCGAGCATAAGCTGTTGTTGACATTTTAAACAGAAGCAAAGTCCCTCTGGGGCTCACAGGTCCTTCTTAGCAGAGCAGTGAGAAAACTTGGCATCCACTGTGGGCAGCCCATTATGGTGTCAGTTGTAGATGAATTGTTTGATACTTCCATGGCATTATAGAGCACCCCTCTGCAACCTGCACCCCGCTGACTGTAATCCGAGCCAGATAAAAACACAAAATGGGTCAGGCTTAGTGAGACTGTGTGGACAAAATGTTCTCTTTCCTTCTGCATCTTCCCAGCTAGCTAAGACAAGAGCACATTGGATTTAAAAACCAAGTGATAGTCTTTTGGCATTGGTAATTTGGGCGCAATAGCTTCTAAGTCCAATCATAGGGGATTGACTAAGTAGACTATTGTCAGGCCAAACAAAGGTATTTAAATGGCTTTGTAGGAGAATATTAAATTACATTAAAATAAACATATAAGGCTATTGTTAAGTGACACAGAAGCTTGCTATAAAAGAGTAATCACTATTACATCCTGTCTTTATTTAAGTGTATGTAAATGTATACACCAAAAAAAAAGCTTTAAAATAGCATACACCTAGGTGCTGAATAGTGGTTATCTCTAAGTGATGGAACTGCAGATCTTTATTTTTATCTTTTTTTTGAAATCTCTTTTGCTTTTATAATAAATACTAGAGGCCCAGTGCATGAAATTTGTGCATGGGTAGGGTCCCTAGTGGCTGCCGGCTGCCAGCCAGGACCTCCCTTCCCCTGGCAGCTGCCTGCCGCAGGCCGGGGCCTCACTTCCTGTGGTTGGCCAGCTGGTCCCACCCCCTGGTCAAACTTCTCGTCAAACTCTTGGTTGAACTCCCAGTCAAGGGGACAATTTGCATATTAGGCTTTTATTATATAGGATACATGGTTACCCCTTTAATTATATACATTCTATATCCTTTCTCTGGGACACCATTAGCCCCCTGTACCCAGGTTCATTGAGAAGGGATCAAAATGGGCCACTATTTTAATTCCCACTCCATTAATGCTAGTTTAGGTCTTTTCTCTGCTGATCACATAGATTAATCTGCTTTACTTGATCTTCATGCTTTTAAACTGGCTCCATCAGCTCCACATCAATTAAATTGAATGTCCTTAATAACTACACCCAATTACAAACCCTAAGGAAGGAAGCTGCAGTAACTTTCTTAATATTTAAGTTAAGAACAGTAATGCTGGTAGAACCTCTGTGTGGTTAGTCAGGTTTGGCCTCGTCCACAGTCACCAATTGTGCCCTTTCCCCAGGTTACACATTACTTAGTCCCATGCTGTTGTCTTGGTTACACGTTAGGCACATGTGGCTTCTCAGCCATGAAAACATAGCTAGTCTAAGTTGAGATGTACTGCAAGTATAAAATAGAGACTCAATTTTAAAGACTTAATATGAAAAAGAGCAAGATATCTCAATCAAATTGTTATATTGGTTATCAGTTTAAATGATAATATTTGGGATCTATTGACTTGGATAAAATATATCATTATTACATTTATCAACAATAAAATATATTATTAACAAATTGTTAAAATTAATTTTACCTATTTAAATGTGCACCCCCCCCCCAAAAAAAAAAAACCACATGAAATTATACATGCTACCATCATTATATTTCTACTAGAGGCTTGGTGCACAAATTCGTGCATGGGTGGGGTCCCTCCCAGCTGATTGGGGCTGATCGGTCAGGAG